ATATGACAAGAATTCAGTAGTTATTTAATATTTTTGCTTAAGAAAACAGTAAAACTCTACAAGCCACCAAGAAATTAGTGCTGTTCATCAAAAGAAAGAAAAGGCGTTAAAGAGTGAGTAAAGGGATTCAGTATTCATGAAATGTTCTCGTTAATACACCATTTCAGAAATGGTGGATTGAAGTAAGAAGGAAGAAGTTGATAATAAAATAATAGAATTCCATCCAATCATTTTGGAGGAGAGCAAGCTCAAGGCAGAGAGAGAGGGAGAGAAATGAGAGTAAGAAGGAAGAAGGAAGTTGATAATAAAATAATAGAATTCCATCCAATCATTTTGGAGGAGAGCAAGCTCAAGGCAGAGAGAGAGGGAGAGAAATGAGAGTAAGAAGGAAGAAGGAAGTTGATAATAAAATAATAGAATTCCATCCAATCATTTTGGAGGAGAGCAAGCTCAAGGCAGAGAGACAGAGAAATGGGGCAGTTTTGGAATCTTAAATGACAGACAGACAGAGAGAAAGAAAATCAATCATGCTGGAGGTTTGGTTGGCTATTTTAGATTGAGTGAAGCCAATGTATGATTGCTACTTGTTATTATTATTATATCCATGTCCAGATCACAACTCTTGTTGGAGCTTGACATTTTCCCCTCATCCTAACGGAGACACATCGTATTATTCATTAAATTTTCTCTATATTTCTCACTTTCTGACATGGAAGATATCAAACTAACTTCTTAAAATCCTATCCCTCCAGCACCTACAAAAGCCCTGCAACTTTACATTCTTCCTCACTCTCTCCCCTCCATTCCCCTCCCTATATTTCTTCTCTAACGTTTTCATTTTTTTTTATTAAGACTAATCGATCAAGATGAGAGAAATCCTTCATGTCCAAGCTGGTCAGTGTGGTAACCAAATTGGTGGCAAGTTTTGGGAGGTTGTGTGTGATGAACACGGGATTGATCCCACAGGGAATTATGCTGGCAACTCTAATGTTCAACTTGAGAGGGTTAATGTTTACTACAATGAGGCTAGCGGTGGTCGCTATGTGCCTAGAGCTGTGCTAATGGACCTTGAGCCAGGGACCATGGACAGCTTGAGGACTGGTCCCTATGGGAAAATCTTTAGGCCTGACAATTTTGTTTTCGGCCAAAATGGAGCTGGAAATAACTGGGCTAAGGGACATTACACTGAAGGAGCTGAACTGATCGATTCTGTTCTTGATGTTGATCGAAAAGAGGCTGAGAATTGTGATTGCTTACAAGGTATGACTTCCACATCTTCACATTTGTAGGTAAATCGTGTTCAGTTTAGTCCATTTATCATTGCTTGGCACACGCTAACTTTAGTTTCTTGAATTGATGACTGATAATGTGATTAGGCTTCCAAATCTGTCATTCTCTGGGAGGTGGAACTGGAGCAGGAATGGGGGCTCTGCTCATATCAAAGATCAGGGAAGAATACCCCGATAGGATGATGTTAACTTTCTCAGTATTTCCATCTCCCAAGGTTTCTGATACTGTGGTTGAGCCCTACAATGCAACCCTCTCTGTACACCAGCTAGTTGAAAATGCTGATGAGTGTATGGTCCTTGACAATGAGGCCCTCTATGATATCTGCTTTCGAACTCTCAAGCTCACCAATCCAAGCTGTAAGTGAACTATGCCTGGATTTTTCATCCTTGTTAGCATTCATACTTGTATAAATTGCAACATCTCTAATCTGAAAGTGCGAAATTACGTTACAGTTGGTGATCTTAACCACTTGATCTCAACAACCATGAGTGGAGTAACATGTTGCCTTCGATTCCCGGGCCAATTGAACTCTGATCTTCGGAAACTAGCCGTGAACTTAATCCCCTTCCCACGTCTCCATTTCTTCATGGTTGGTTTTGCACCATTAACCTCCCAAGGCTCACAACAGTACCGTGCCTTAACCATCCCGGAGCTGACACAACAAATGTGGGATGCTAAAAACATGATGTGTGCAGCTGACCCTCGGCATGGTAGGTACTTAACTGCCTCAGCTATGTTCCGAGGCAAAATGAGTACCAAGGAAGTTGATGAACAAATGATAAATGTGCAAAACAAGAACTCATCATATTTTGTTGAGTGGATTCCTAATAATGTAAAGTCAAGTGTTTGTGACATTCCACCAACTGGGTTGGCAATGTCATCAACATTTATGGGAAATTCTACGTCTATTCAAGAAATGTTTAGGCGTGTTTCGGAACAATTTACGGTCATGTTCAGGAGAAAAGCGTTTTTGCACTGGTACACAGGGGAAGGAATGGATGAAATGGAGTTTACTGAGGCTGAAAGTAACATGAACGATTTGGTTTCTGAATATCAACAATATCAAGATGCCGCAGCCGATAATGAGGAGGAGTATGATGAAGAAGAGCCTATGGAGAACTAAGGAGAATTTGATCTGGTTATTTGCCTATAGAGAAGAGCCTATGGAGAACTAAGGAGAATTCGATCTGGTTATTTGCCTATGGCTATGGCTTCAAGGATGCGTTGTTTCTGCCTGGAGTTGTTTATGTTACTGTATGGAGGTCAATATTTGAATAATTTGGGCCTCTGATGACCGTGAGATTGTGAATATTTCTATTTATAATCTGTGAGTATAAAATTTGTATTATTGTTTTGTTATAATGTGGATGATTGTCGCTTTTCTTCATCTATTTTACATTATCTACATTTTTTCTCCTAATAATATTAATTTTACCGAAATTATTTCTTGAAAAATCCCAACGTCTTAATTTTGTAGAATTCACTGTTAGAGGATCACACGTTCCATTGAATGAGATATTTCTGGGACGTAATTTGGGGACGATTTTTTAATAAAATCAGAATTTGTTTGTTTTTCTTTAAATTCTAGTAGTAAATAAATGGAAATCCCTAGTTTTCAAATGAGAAAGTTAGCTGTCTATAAATTTATAATTCACTCAAAACATTTGAGGTAAAATCTCAGGTAAGACTTAATCATTCGTATGAATCTGAATTACTATACATTATCTATATGAAGTACCCATCTCTATTTTGTTTTCATTTTCATTTTTTTTCTTTTTAATTGGTTCTTTCTATAGTTTAATTGTATAAAATTATGGTTAGCATATTAAATTAAAAGACAAGAGAACTGACATGTAGGACACAATGAAAAAATATGGTAAATCTCAAATTCACAATAATTTTTTTATTATAATCCTAAAATTTATTTTGTTTATTTTTTAATTTCCTGGTTTAAAAAAAGAAAAAAAATTATATGGAAAACAATATAAAAAAAAAAAACTTGATGATTATCATAATTTTAACAACCAAAATAGTTAAACTTAGCGTCAAATAATTTAATTTAAGGAGAATAGTGCGATAATGGTGATTTTACCTTTATCTTGCTTGAAAAGATAAATCTAAGATGAGAGATTTTTTTTTAATTTGATTTTTTATTTTTAAACCAATTTATAGGTGTTTTAAGCTGAAAATTTGGTTTAGTGAGGCTTCTAGAGTGGTTTTTAAGTGATTTATGTTTAAATAAGTTAAAAAATAAAATTTTCAACCCAAAAATAGATTTTTTAACCACCTGCAAGCGATTAAAATTTAAGTTTATAAACAACATGTTATGTGTTAATTTTTATAAAATTAAAAGGTGTTGACAACATGCCATATACTTTTCAGTGCAAAGTGCAAAAAACGTTGGGTAGTTGGTAAAGCGTGTAGACTTGGTTTGCAAAGACTATCAACGACTGATTTCTATGTTTTTTTTTTAAAAATAATATAATAAAGTATATATGCAATACTGATATATATTTTTATTATATTAAAAATTAACCTAAATTCTTTAATGCAGAAAAAGTATATAAGCCCAAGCACAGCTTGAGTAGCTGATCAAGCGGGGACTGGGCTTACAAGGGCTTTATATTTAAAAAAAAATGATATAATAAAATGTATTTGCAATATTGATATATTTGTTTATTAAATTAAAAATTAAGTTGAAATCCTATTTTAAATCTGGTTTAGTTTCGTAAAAGAGAATGATAAGAAGGGCTTCGCCTTACCAGGGAAACAGAAATCATATGGTCAATTAAATATTAATATTAGATTATTGAAAAACAAAAATAACTTGGGTCCATAGCCCCGTCGCAGAGCATTGGGATGCACTTGTTCAAGAGGTCATTGGTTGGGCCTTTTTTCATATTTTTTTAAGCAATTACTAGATTTTTTTTTCCCCTTCTATTCCAACTGTCGAAAAAGGTCTTCATGGGACTAGCATCAACCCAAATTCACCCCATACACACAGAATGTGAACCCAGAAGGGTGGTCAAGCCCTGGCATGGTTCGTTCCCACTTCTAGGGTTTGGTCCTACTTTTCTTATGTTCAGTCAGGGCTCCTTGGCTACCTAGTCTGGTATTAGCTGGATCGGCCCATTGAACTGTCCAGCCCTAGGGATGCACCTCCTACCATGACACAAACAGAAGAAAAAAGGCTGGGAGGTGGTACTTGAATGCTGTTTACGAAGCAAACTCTAACAAGCTATCACCAAAACTCTAAGATTGTTACCATTTTTTGTTCAGATCCTAGGTAAGTCGTAAAAAAGAAAATTTCTACGGGGATATTTATCTAAGTTGTAGATGTTCAATCTAAGAATTGCTAGAATACATTTACAGACTTGCCATCTAAACCGCAAAAAGATTAGACAGTCACCGCTTAGATGTTAAGTTGAGAGACCTTCGACGTATAGAATTAGCTCCACCTGCGATAATGGCTCCTATTTTATTCAGGCATGATGATAATGGCTCCTGCTTTCTCTTTACATTGATGCTGATGTTTCGTGAGAATTGACATGTTATGCCCAGCTGCTCATCATGATAACGGTAAAGACAGGATTTTACCGTGGCCAGAGATTTTGCTGGGCTTTGAGACCACTAGAAACTCTCTACCTGCACTAGCGCACAACTGTTGTTGCACGATCAGACTTCTACATTTACACAATAACAAACAACTGTTGAAAAGCCAAAAATATTTGATTAAAAAACTCAGCATACAAAAACACCAATTCCACCTCTGCTTGTGCAGCCACAACCAATAGCACTGTACATAAATTACAAGGATTACAACATTTTATTTTCACCCTCTAAAAGCAATTTGAAACAACAGGTGATTCCATCTACAAACATGTAATCTGTAACAAGAATGTCTTAATTATTCCACCAGACTTTTGTATCGAAAAAGGTCAGCAAACAGAAACAAGGGTATTGTTCATATCCGCGTGAGTGATAAATATGGCAACACCCAGTAAAGAATGTCTTAATTATTCCACCAGACTTTTGTATCGGAAAAGGTCAGCAAACAGTAACAAGGGTATTGTTCATATGCGCGTGAGTGATCAATATGGCAACACCCAGTAACTGACCCAACCTAACCCATCAAAAATGTTTCGAAAGAATTCTTCAAGATGACAACCAATCAATGCATGCAGTAGATCAGAGCCATTCACAGCCAGTTTTTTGCTGCGAGGTCAACTCAGGAAAACCTTGGATCATCCTGAGTTGAAATTAAGCTCGTGTTCACCATTGGTAGTCATCTCAAGGAAATGAGCAATCCAAGAAGAGATTTATTTTGACCTTTGTCCTTCTGCTATCATGCATTTGTGTTCCTTTTATTTTCAAGAGTTGATGCCTCTTTTAGAGCTGCTTTTGCCTCATTCTCCTTTCCCATTGTTAAAAGAGCTGCTGCTTGTAAATAAGATGCAATATGCCAAATAGGGGATATTGCCTGGGCTTGCAGTGCATCATTTAGGGCCTCCTGGGGCATGTCACTCAAGAGGTAGGATAAACTTCGGCGTGCATGAACGGTTGGGGAAACCATGGTTCCAATATCAATGAACTGCAAATTGATAAAATGTGAACTCAATTATGGAAATTTTGATAATAATTGATAGAACAATTTGTAACTTCTGATTGCATCAGAAATACATAACCCCACTAAGAGAATCCTACTTTTGAGATTGCATCAGAAATACATAACCCCACTAAAAGAATTTTGGGATCTCAAAGTTCTGTACAGATAGGCTTTTTTTCTAGTTTGAATGTAAATTCATTAACACCACCTCTACCTGTACTCTCCACATTAATAAAATCACCTATTTTATCCACTTCAACCAATCTCAAAGGTCATCTATCAAAAAAAAAAATAGAAACCAATTAACCTGGGAATAGAATTCAATGGCAGCTCTAAAATCTTTGTGCCGGAAAGCAACATCTCCCTTCTTCTTTGAATTTAACGTTTCCTGCATTTGGTTGGTCCACATCTGGAACGAGAGCTACAAGACAGTAAAAAAAAGAAAAAGCAAGCAGGTCATAGGAAGAAGTGTTACAGCCGAACCAGTCAGGCACATGTAAGAAATCATTGACACGTGTGAAATAAAGGAGATGCAAACACAGGATGAGTGCACTCTATGGGATCTAAGAATCAAGTGAGTATTCACCAGCATCCATGTAAAATCACTAGGGAAAAAATGGCAAAGGTATACAAACATGAGCATGGAAATACATAAAACATCAACTAAATAAATGCTAATGGTGAAATTATGAGAATCAAGCAATGTTAAAAAGACCAATCAAGAAATATCAAGTGACATTCTTTTAATATTATCATTGCTAAAATCATAAGTAAAGCATTCAAATGTTCAAGGTCAAAATGATGCTAACATAGCAAAGCAAAACCTTGAAGCTAGAATGATCTATCAATTTCTTAATTTTCAATTCCATGGATCTAGCATAGCAAAAAAGAAAATGAAAATATTCCTTTAGAGATCTTCAAAAAACACCATAACTTGACATAATGAAAACAAGTTTTGAATCTCTAATTTAAGTGATAATAAAGGCCCAGATGGTTGCATAAATAGCATTCCATTTACTGTTACCATTTTATTATATCAGAAACAAACCTCAGTTGCTGCACCCTCATCATCTTTATACCCAAGCTTTTCTAAAATCTCATGTATGGCAGTCAAATCCATTCTTAAACAAGCCTCACCAAGTGGTGACAGCGGTAACGCTGCACCACCATCTTGTATCCCCATCAATTCATGAGAAGGAACCTGCAAATCAGACTATTAAATAAGTCCATTGAGGGATAGAGTGATCCAAAACTTTCAATTCACACCATCAAGACAAGAGAATGTTGCATATTATAGTTTGTGAAAATCCCAAGTAATAGGTCAGCACCGAAACTCAAAGTAATAAATCAGAAAAGAGCCATTCCAAAAGGTGTTTTAATAGACACCGCCAACGAGTACTACTTATTCCAGGCCCCGACAAAAACCATTATTTCATCCACAGAACACATTTCCAGATATCAGGTCATGTAAATGAATAATCATTCTTATGTTTACGACTAAGAATGTCATTTATTTTCTTCTTTTTTTAATCGCTTTGAGAGTGAAATGAAGTTGCTGCCTGTGGAAGGATTCATTTGAGAAAGTCAAGGCATTATACGGAAAAGATGCCAGATACTTAAGAATAACTAGATAACAACCAACCTCAGTATCCTTCTGCAGAGGAATCAAAGCAGCAACTAAAGACTTAGGATTTGGTCGCTCCCGGGGCTCATATTGTAAACAGCGTGAAGCTAATCGCACCAACTCAGTTCCATCATCATTTGCAAATTGGCCTTCCAAGCAAGAATCTGACAGCATTTGAATATTTCTGTCCCTTATCAAGTCCAGTGCCTGAAATAAATTGTTCAGTAAACTATTAGCTGCCAATTATGTGATACTCTAAATGTTCAGAAGGATAAAAAGCAACGCAATTATGTGATACTCTAAATGTTCCTGATGGGAGTCTAACCAAGCATGTTTGAACAATCTCATTTTATTGTTCAAACATGCTTGGTTAAACTCCCATCAGGAACAACAGCCAACACAATTAATTTCAGGAATGCATGTACATCTAGAACAATAAAAATGAACAATGGAATCACTACATCTAGTCATACTGCAGCCACTGCCTTTATCCCAGGCAACATCCCAGATTATGTTGTGATTCCAGTAGGAAGATAGAGCCTTTGAGGTGAGCAGAATAATAAGTGAAGAAATTTGCAATAAAACCAACCAACAGATGCTTAATATTTCTGCATCAAAATGATCGTATTGAGGAGGAAACTTACATGGCTGGGAGGAATATGTTTCCCACTGAGAAGGTCCAGCAAAAGGGTGCCAAAGCTATAAATTACACTTTCTGCTGTTACCCTTCCTATAGAATGAATGAAAAATTGAAGTGATATAGGAGATGAACTAATCAACAAAATGATTATGATAGCTGATAAGGAAAATAATGGATGAGCATAAATTATGTTAAGAACTTGAATGATCGATGTGATACACCATCCAGGATTCAATTGAAACAATAATTCCATATGCCATATATACAGAGATCAGGGTGAAGCTTGCAGGTGGAGGAACATTTAGCTGGTTCGAAAGAATTAAGTACCTGTCCTCAGATACTCAGGAGGTGTAAATGCCAAGTTTGTACTGTAACTTTTTCCATCTATACTGTTCTTCATCAGACCAAAGCATGAAAGTCTAGGGTTGCCCTCCTGATGAATAGAATGATGAAATGAAAATGGACCCTGTTAAATCCTAACTGTGGATACTGGATACATTAAAGATAATGAGATACTTACATCATCAAAGACAACTCTATAAGCATTCAGATCATGATACAGAGTACGTCCCTTGCTGGCACAATATTCTAGAGCTTGCGCAAGATGTAGAGCCACCCTAAGTCGCATTGCCCATTTCATTGGCTGTGTTTCCCCTGAAGAAACCAGAAGGTCAACATTGAGTTGTGAGAAGATTTTACGAGGAATAAAAGAACAAGACTGCTCCTTGGTATCTTGGTTTGGTGTACTAACTCCAAGCACAAAGCAAAAGCTCAAGCTACAGACATGGTGAGCAAAACAAGAGCAGATCTTTTGTATTACAAAAATATATAACAGAATGTTGTTGTTTGTAGCAAAGAATATAAAAGAGAAACGTGCTATTTTTCCTCCATAATGTACTGCAGGCGCGCGCACTTCCAATAATAGGAATAATAATTGCTCAATTGGACACACAAGCTTGGAAGTTAAAGGAAAGAAACCTGCAATATCCACTAGATGCTAAAGCGAAGGAAAGGGCACCAGAAACAAACTTACAATGGAATAGGTGTTTGGCCAATGTATCATTGGGCATAAATTCAGAAATGAGTAACCTCTCATCCCCTTCACAACAACAGCCGAGCAAATTTGCCAACCTATGGTTCCTCAGCTGACCAACAGTTCTTGCTTCTTCCTAAAGTCATGGAACAAGAACATCATCATGCTACTGGCAATTGTGTAGGTAAATGGAAAGGGCAGGACAAATGCACATCGTATTTGGCAAATAGAAAATGCTAAGCTTCACTTACCAAAAACTGCCTGGCATCAGGCCAAGCTGATCTATTAAACCGTTTCACAGCAACCCTCCTCTGATTCTCAAGCTTCCCCTTATAAACCACATTTGGAGCCTTTTCCCCATGTTCAGAAACTATATTTTCCACAGAAAACCCAGAAGTCGCCATCCTGAGGGTTTCAATGCTGTATTCACGGAATGCAGGCAAATCATCGAGTTCACTCCTCTCTTCCTTATCTACAAAGACCAAACAACCCAAAGATCAAAATGACACCACATATATAAACAAACAAAAACCTCCCATTTCACTTACCCTCATTGTGGTCTTCGGGAACCGATCCATTATAGTCAGAACTCCAACAACACTTGGTGAGCTTTGAACACTCGCAACCCATTCCAATAACACAATTTGAAAGCAAGCACTAATCAATTCGAATCTTCAAAGCCCAAACTTTCTCTAGCTCAACTACTCCATTAGCTTCAGCAGACCAATCCTTTCTTAAAATTTTACAATATCTCAACGGCAATCATATAAACAAAAACTTCAATTCTCGCTGCAATCAGAATAGAAAAGATTGGAACTTTGCCCTCAAATGTTTTTTTTAAGAACTACTCAATTAACCTATGGCAATAACAGTACAATTCAAACATTTCATTCTACAACAACCCGAAGCTACAAAAGAACAAAATAAGAATCTTATAATGTCACACCATCAGTTCTCTAAATTTGAAAAAAAAAAGGAGCAAATCCTAATTCTTATCAAAACAACATCATTTTCATCAAGTACGAATTCTTCATTTCCTTACGAATCTAAACTCCCACAAAAGATATGCGAAAAAGAGAGATTCCCAGATGCTAATTTCCTTTTCCTTAGCTATCTCAACAACCAAACAAAAGAAAGCATCGAAACAAAAGGAAAGAGATACCCTATCAGCAACGATTCCACTGAGTCAACCCAGTCCACCAGCTGCAGCAGCAAGACTATATCTCTCTCACCCTCTCTCCCTGCATCAGCTTCAAGTGATTCACTTCATAGAAAACCAAATCAAACCCACAGAACTTGAATAAAAAAAAAAACACAAACAAAGAGAAAAAAAAAGCCTGTTGAACGGGGAAGAGGGAGAGCTAAAGAGAAAGGACTCTAAGCTTTGATCAATTCCTTGATGGGTTGAAGAGAGAAAATTTAAAATTATTGCAAGGTTTCAATTCCTTGATGGGTTGAAGAGAGAAAATTATTGCAAGGTTTTATGCTTGTGTTTTCTAGTTTGTGTTGGTAATGAAAATAAACGGAACTTGGGCTCTTGAAAAGTTGGGTTCCGTGTGTATTTGAATCTGAGAGAGGGATCTTTCAGCTCATTTATTTCTTTCTAGGTGAGAGAATGAGAATTTTGAGGGCTTTGAGATTTGGATTGCAGTATCGAATTTCTTATCAAGTATTATATAATAAACTAAATAGTTTAATATTTATTTATATGTTTGCTTGCAGTGCTGTTGTTTTTGAATGTATTATTGTTTTGCTTTGTTTTCTATATTTATTTGACCTTAATTTCCACCGACATGACGCTCACTTTTCTCAATCTCCTACAACCAAGCCACCATTATCGATGGCCTCTTGCACTGTTACTAGTTTTAGTTATATGAAACCAAATATTGAGATTTTGAGAATAATTCAGCTGTAAGAAGTTGATAAAAACTATTCCTTTTTTTTTTTTCTGGTTTTGACGGGGAAGGTATTATCAAATCTCCGTCACGAGAAATTACTTTCACGTAGGATTGTATCTACAATAATCCTAGCATGAAGACAACATTATTTTTACCTGATAGGCTGTTCCCTCCTTCGAGAGAGATTTTTATTTGGTAAACAAATAACGTGCACTGACACAGTAACTTTATTTTTGTCTTTAAACACTTTCTTTTATCTTTTCTTCTTGTTTTTTATAGCGAGTTATAACACGCACACTCTCTCTATCTATGCTGTGTTTTTTTTTTTTTAATTACTGTATTTTTTATGATTATGGTTTTAAAAAAATAAATTTTTTATGTGAGATGAAGCTTTTATTACAAAAAAATTAAAAAACAAATTATTGTGGGGTTAGAATGCAGATAAAATGCATTTTATGGGTAGATAAAATGCAGAAGCTAAAATGCAGATAAAAACAAATTAAGTAAAGACAGAATTTTCATGTGGGTAGATAAAATGCAGAAGCTACGATAATACTTGCAATACCAAAACAGTCTCTAACTCTTGTTTGGATTGTTAAGTAGTTGATGCTGTTGAGCAGTTATTTTTGGGGAAAAAAATTACTCTGTCATCCTATAGAATTTTCTATAGTTTTTTTTATTGATAATTTTGTCATTTAAAGAAAAATAAGTATTTTAGTTATTAAATTGAATATAATGACAAATTGTAAATAACCAGATATCTTTTTGTTGATTTTTTTATATATCGTGCAAAGTATTATAAAATTATAAGGTTTTTTATGTAATTTTAAAAAGAATAAAACAAAAAAACAAAATTATAGAATATTTTTTTCATTATTTTTAAAACATTAAACCATGTATTGAAAAAGAAGAGTAGAGCAATGTTTAATTATAGTATGAATAGTTCCACTTGATCAACTAGAATGGTTGAACTTCATATTGAAGTGTATGTTTGGGTGCAGCGGATGAGATTTTGAGTTTTTTTTCTTTAAATTATTTTTTTAATGTTAATAAATAGTTTTAATATATTAGTATTAAAAATAAATTTTAAAAAATAAAAATAAAAAATATTATTTTAATACATTTCTTAAAAAACACTTCAAAATAAATCATTCAATCCTATCCACACATTCCCCTGTAAACTTACCCAAAAACACCACTGAAAAATTATTTTTTAAAAGAAAAAAAAAATCATGGGCCTTCAGCAAAGGGGATACAGTCTTTCTTACTGCTGACATCCTTTTATATATATATATATATATATTATCGTTTCTTAGATGATTGAGCAAGCTTTGGTCTGCGTTCACTCGCATCATGACTCCCACTACTAATGTCGTCAAGTTGGCTTTCGGGTTTTGATAGCTGGGTGGCCTGTGCTTGTCAAGGAAACAGATTGATTGTAGAGAAAAATTCAATGAGCATCACCCTAATAAATTATTGGCCATCTTCTCTCCATGAATCTATTATTATTGGCAATTCTTTAATAATCACAGCAACAGAAGATGGGGGCACAGATAGATTACCATGATTGAAGAAACAGAGGCCTCTGCATCTTGGACTTTCTGGGTGCCATTCCTTCAAATACAGTTCCACTTTTCACTTCCAGCCATGGGTTTTTGTCTTTCAACAAGTTCCATTCCACAGGCTAAAATTGTTCTCTGCCACACCTTTATGTTTCATCATTTGAGCCTCTGAAATCACTGGCAACGCCACAATATAGAAAGATGGGCGTTAGTGAGCGCACGCATGCATGCACACATAATTGCAGCAACATGAATATATTCATGCTGAGGTGCTTCGTAGACCAGTGACTGTGTCCTTTCAACTTGGATCAGCAATATTTATACATGTCAGTGTCATTTATACTAGCAGGTGGGTCTAGAAATGGAACGTTCTAAAGTGGACATTTAACTCTTTTGGTTGCTTTAGGAGTCGATAATGCTGCCATGGGCAACTTGTCCTTGTAAAAGTAAGGTATCGATGTAAGGATAACACTGATCCTAATCACTAAAAAAATCTTCCCAGTATCACCCTTTTTTTATTAAAAAAGAACCGCCATTTAATCGATAGGATTCATTGATGGAATACGTAAGTTGTTTAGAAAAAGAAAAGTTTCGGAAAGAGTATAAGATGATGATAGCATTGCTCTCAACTTGACTGGCAATGGCTTTGACATGAGATCACATCGTACTACGTTCCTAGTTATTGACAGGCAAGTGAATTTCTGCCTAATTTTAATTAAAAAAATTTATATTTCGAATAATCTTAAGTATTCAAAATTTTCAAATGAAATTTATTTTTTAACGTGGACTTTTGAGTCGAATCTCAACTTCGAGGTAATTTTTAACAAGTGCCTCTCATGACCGCAACCATGTTTTTCTTTGGCAAGTCGATGGATTTTTTTATTTTATTTTTTGTGGGGGACAATTTATAGTTTACTAATTCTTTCTACTCTTGTCAAAAGAAATCCCTCCACTTTAAAAAAAAAACACATTAACAAGTGTGGTTAGGCATACAAGAACTTGAATTCATTATCCAGTTAAAAAGTTCTCTCGTCTTTGTTTCGTTTGAATAATTTTTTTTTTTTATTAGGAAGCCTTAGATTTATGATGAATGGGAATTTAGGAAAAAAAAATACTTTCATTGTATAATTGAAGTCCTATAAATAATCCATCAACAAAAAATATTAAAAACTGATTCTGCTAAATTCTTGTGGGAAATATGAATATATAAAACACATTATATATGCAATTGCTAACAATTAGTGTTCAGCAAAACAACCAAATTATTTGAGATATCTACAAAATTAACCAACTAGATGATTTTCTAAATTTTTTTAAAAAATTTTCTAAATTTTTAGATAATTTTGGTTAGGAAAATTTTAAAAACTTTATTTGATTTGATTTTAATTTAAAATTTTAATAATATAAAAAACTTAATTGAACATAAAAAAACTAGAAAATCCACCATAAAATAAAGATCTATTAAATCAAAATCTATATAAAAAAAATAACCCAACTAAAAAGCTTACTGTAGACTTATTCAATTTTAACATATGTAAAACTTAACAGGCTTGACGAAGCTAATCAACTCAGTTATTCACTTATTTAATTTGATTTATTCAATTTTAACATATGTAAAACTTAACAGGCTTGACAGAACTAGTCAACTCAGTTATTTAATTTGATTCAAAAATTTGATAATTTTTTTTTAATTCAATTGAATTTTTTTTATCCAAACTAAACTTATTCTAGCCATGCTTATCCATAATTAACAAAAACTAAAACATGAGGTGCTATTAATCTCTGCATATAGCATTGTTTATTGGTACATGACTTTGATTTTTTTTTTTCATATTATTATTTAATATTATATTTATTAGAAATAAAAGTTGAGTTTCGTAATTTATTTATAAAAGCTAATGGCTTTTAAAAGATAAATTTTATAAAAATTAAATTATTTTTTAATACTAACATGATTGGTAAAATAATGTTAAAATAAAAAAAAACTCTTGTAACCTAAAATTTACATTTTAACAAATAATAAATTATTGTCTAAAAAATAACTAGTTGGGATTATAACTTCCTTCAAGATTAATGAAAAAAATATCACATAAACTAATAAGTATAAGTAAAATATTGTTTATTAAAACTCATCACGTTATGGATTGTTATAATGAAATGGTGTTTTTGTACTTTATAGTGCTCTATATAAGTGTAATTTAATGGTTAAAATGTTATTTTCTTAAAGTTTCTCTAGCATTGCTAAATTGATAAATTAATCTTCTATTATTTTTTTGGCATAGTAAAAGGAATTAATTATTCTTAAAAAAAAACATTTAACTAGTGTTAAAGGTTTTTAATACAACAAAATGACTTAAATACTCTCAAGAACAAATAATACTAAACTTGTTTTAAGGGGTTTTTTTGATACTTTTTATTTAGTTTTTTTTTATAATTAAGTTAACTTTGGAATAGTTATATCTTCTAATAAATATATAATATTATTATAAAAAACTAATTTGCGTGTAATGCTCTTCGAATAAAGCACAAATAATAAATTATTGTCTAAAAAATAAAATAAAATAAAATAACCAATTGGGATTATAACTTCCTCCAAGATTAATGAAAAAAATATCACATAAACTAATAAATATAAGTAAAATATTGTTTATTAAAACTCGGATTGTTACAGTGAAATGGTGTTTTTGTACTTTATAATGCGCTAAATAAATGTAATTTAATGGTTAAAATGCTATTTTCTTGAAGTTTCTCTAGCATTGCTAAATTGATTTAGATTAATTAATCTTCTATTATTTTTTGGCATAGTAAAAAGAATTAATTATCCTTGAAGAAAAAACATTTAACTAGTGTTCAAGGTTTTTAATACAACAAAATAACTTAAATACTCTCAAGAACAAATAATACTAAACTTGTTTTTAGGGTTTTTTTGGTATTTTTTATTTAGTTTTTTTATATATATAATTAAGTTGACTTTGAAATAGTTAGATGTTCCAATAAATATATAATATTGTTATGAAAAACTAGTTTGTGTATAGTGCTCTTCGAATGAAGTATGAGGTGCTATCAGGCAATGGAATGTTATCTTTCATGGTGATGTTAGAAGCATTACAATATTTTCTTTCACATGAATCATCGTGTAACGTGTTTTATGTTGTGGTTTGTTGTCAACAATCCATTATTTTTTATTTTTTATTTCCATGAAATTTATAACCATCTAAACTTTTATA